ATCCCAACCTGCAACATGCATTTTAGGAAGGCATGCAGGCAGCAACAGCAGCGATCTGCTAGTAAACGCTACATGCGCATAATGAATTAAATTGCATAATTAATAACATTGCATTATTGATAAGGGGCTGGGTGTGTGTGTCCCCACCATAATCAGGGGGCGAGTGCCACCCTCGCCAGGCAGCTCAGCCCGTTGTGTCCGGTAGGTCGCAGAAGCGAAGCACCCGCACCCCGCTGGCACGGCCACGCGTGGGAGCGATGCATCCCCGTCCTTCCCCTCCCCCGCGCGCGGGACTGGCGCCGGGGCCTGCCGGCGCGGGCAGGAGGGAGGGTGGACGGACGGGCGGGTGGCGGGGCTGTATCCCGGTCCCACATCCCGGCCCGTGTCCCCCCCGGCTCCGTGTCCCCCCCGGGGCCGCGGGCGCCGCGCGGGCGGGGCGGGGCGCGGAAGGGGCTTCTTGAAACCGCCGCGCGCCCATTGGCGGAGCCTCGCCCCGCCCCGTCCTCCTCTCACCCCCCCCTTCCCTCCGCACCGGCCCTCCCCGCTCCGCGGGGGCCCGGCGGGGCCGGAGGGCGCCGTCCCTTCGCGCCCGCCCCCGGCCCCGGCCGCGGGGACAGGCGGGGACAGGCAGGGACAGGCGGGGCGGGACGCGGGGCTGGGCCGGGGCGGCCGCGGGCACTGCGGGAGGGGGGTGAGGGGGAGGGGGCAGCGCGGCCGCTCGGAGCAACGGCGCCCCCTGGCGGCGCGATGGCGCCGGTACCGCGCGGACCCACCGGGGTCTTGTGTCCGTGTGTCCCCCGTGTAACCGCTGTGTCCGTGTGTCCCCCAGGGCATCCCCGTGTAACCGCTGTGTCCTGTGTCCGTGTGTCCCCCGGAGGGTCTCTGTCCCTGTGTACCCCCGGGGTGCTGCGTCCGTGTGTCCATGCGTGTCTTGTGCCCCCCCCGTGGTTGTCCCTGTTCTCATGTACCCCCGGTGTCCTGTGCCCATGTGCCAACGCGTGTCCTGTGCCTGTATAACCACTCAGGATGTCCCAGTGTTCATGGAGCCCTCCGGGATATCCCTGTTTTCATGTACCCCCTGTGTGCTCCTGTCCTCACAGACCCCGTGGGACTCTCCCTGCTCTTGTGGACCCCCAGAGCTCTCCTTGTCCCCATGGAGCACCCCCTCCTTGGCAGTCCCTGCCCATATGGGCCACCAGCATCTCCCAAACCTTCTCCAGAAGGTCCTGCTTCCCGCTGGCCTTTCCCTGCGGCCCTGCAAGCACCGAGGAGCCCTGATGAGCTCCTCAACCCATCACAGCCAGACACCACATAGGTACCCCATGTCACGTGCTGTCCCATTCAAACAAACTCCTTTGCCCTGGGCTTTGGTGTTTGAATTAAACCCAAAGTAAACCCCAGAGCAAGCCAGAGCCTGGCTCAGCCCAGCAGCACACAACTCCTTCCTCTTCTCCGTTGCAGGGCAAGCAAGCTGGCCTTAGGAAAATTAAGTAAATACCACTGAAGGAGTTGAAAAATAGGTTACCTTGTAAATGATTTTTTTTATTTCTGCCTACAGCTAAAGAAAAATTAGCCTCCCTGCTATCTTGTGCAGCCCAAGAATGTACTGGGGTGTGTAGTAGCTGAAGGGGTGGTGTGACAGCTCCTTTCCCAAAGCCTTGCTTCTGAGATTGGCTTTTTTTTTTTGTGCCTTTCCCCAGCCTTTAAACTCTGGGAGCTGCCAGGGAAATCTAAAGCTCTGATAGCTTGGAGGAGCCAAGAACAGGACTCCTGGCAGAGTGATGCAGCCCTGATCCTGTGCCAGGAATCTGGGGAGAGCCCCTCTCTGAGGGAGACCCTGGCTCGTGGGGTGTCAGTTCATCACTGTGTGTAATCACCCCATCACAACATTTCATCGTGCCAGTTCAAGCTGCTGCTGCTGCCATGGGATAGCAGAGCCAGTCAGGATGGGAGGGTGGCTCAGGGCAGAGTACCCCAATGCTGGTGTCTGAGCTGGTTGGAGGGTTCATCCTCCCCTGCTCGGAGGTATGCAGGACCCCCAGCCCAGTCTCTCCTCCCCGGTGATGCAGAGAGGCAACATGAGGGCTTGATTTATGAAGTGCATTAGCATCACTCTTTTCCTGTTTTCCATAACAAGCTGTTTTCACAGTGATGCCTGTGTGCTGCCCTCACTTCTTCCCCTCAGCACCAAGGTTTTAGGGGGCATTTTCCAGGGGGAAGAGACCTTCAGCTCAGCCTTGGGTACCTCACTGTCATCAGACACAGGGAGATGTGCTTGGTCCCTCCCAGAGACCAGCCTTCCACCCCTGCTTCATGCTGAGGGTGTGGGGTCCTGCACAGAGCCTCCCAGGGGCTGTGCCTCCAGATGCTGTGGGTGCTGAGTGTGGCTGGCTGTGTGGCTGGGGCTCGTGGATGATTAATGAATCCCATAGTTGGGAGTGAGGTCCCTGCTAAGGGCAGTTTGGGGCACACTGAAAGGCTGTCCAAGCCCCCAGCATCGTGGTCCCTGTGGCAGCAAGTGGAGGGCTGGGGTCTCAGTCTCCAGTAGCTCCATCCCTGGTGTGGGTCCCACTCCTGACCTCTTGCAGTGCTGGGATTAGCTGTGGCTGCACCAGTGCCATGCTGGTGCTTGCCAGCATCCCCTTAAAATCTGAGAAAACCTACATTTCAGCAAAGATCTGCCTCGTGCTGCAGCCTCTTTTGCCTGCTGCCGAGCCCCTGAGCAATTCATTCTCCCAACTACTCCAGAAGTGATAAAACCAATAGGTCACTTTTTTTTTTATTTCTCTCAGCAGTAATTAATGGTTTAATTAACACTCACGACATCCAATTCCCACTGCTTTGCATGAGCAGCCTCCGCTGCCGGGGCCTCGCTGTGAACTCTCCGATAACTGGGGGTGGAAAGGGTTAGCCGGGAGCTGGTGGGAGCTGCCGGCTGGAGGCCGCCCATCTGGCCCGGATTTCTTCCGAAGCTGGAAAGTTCTCCTCCTCCTGAGCAGCAGCGGCATATCCAACACGTTCCACAGCCTGCTCTGCTTTTGCACGGGCTTGTTTACTGTGTGGCGGCTTTTACAGCCGAGGAAGAACACGGGCGCCATGAGCACAGCCCTCCTTATTTACCCTGAACGATTTTCCAGTATTTTAACACCAATCCCCGAGAAATTTTAGTTGTCCCAAGGAGAATAGCTGCTTGTAACCGGTTCTAATTACAAGTATGAATGTCAATTAATTCATTTAGCTAATTATCCACTCTCTGAGCATCACGCACCAAAGAACTGTAAAAGATGGGCATATGGTGATGGATCAGAAGGAAGGAGCTGGTGCTGGTGTGTGCTCGCTGGGCGGCCAGGGCTGGGTGTGCCAGGGTGAAGGGATGCAGGCAGTGTGAGGGCTGGGGGAATTACAACATTATGCTAATTGGGCCTGGAAAACATCAACCCTCTCCCTGCAACTTTTGTTTGGAGGCTCAAGCGCGGGTCGAGCATCTGAAGTGTTTCTGATTGTGCTGTTCCCTCTGACTTGGAGGAGTGGGAATAATCATTTTCCCTTCCTGGAGCAAACCTTTTGATCCTAATCTGTGTCTGCAGAAACAAACAGTCCTAAGGAGGGAGGGAGAGATCCCTGAAGAGCTTCCTGGCCAGGAGCCTCTGTGCTAAAGGTGGGGAGATCTAGAGGATGCTCGCTGCAATCTGGTTTGCAGGGCACCTGGGCTGCTGCAAGCAGGTAGAAAACCATCTTGGTGAGAAATATCTTATTTGCTGTCCCAAAAGAGGATGCTTTAAAGGAAATATTATTTTCTGAAATGATGAGAGTTAATTACATCTGGGTTTGCAGAGTTACCTGCAATATATGAAAGGGGTTGTGCTGTCCTGTCCCTACTCTGAGAATGAAGAATTACAGATTTTATACAAGCAGTTGAGCAGGAAATTCTCAGTGGGGTTAAAGTTCCAAGGCAACAATCTTCTTCCAGAGGGAATCTCTATCACCATAATTGGATCAGTCATCTGGTGCAGTGTGGTGCTGCTTCTTCCATCCCCCAAAGGCTCCAAACACCAGTGGGCAAGGACTGCCTTAAGCTGGGCCACCAGTTCCATCCCAGCCTGGCCCAGCCTTCACAGAGGTATCCAGGTGTCCCACCTCCACCTGCACCTGGGGCTAGGGTTCTGATGAACCCCTATCCAGCCTAAAATTGAGGTTGCTGAGGCAGGAGCTTTTGCTCTGTTTCAGTGCTTAGTTGTTCTCATTTACCAAAAAAAGTGAGGCCTTATTTCCTATTGAATTTGCCTAATTATTTCTTTTCTGGCTTTCCAGTGGCAACACTTGTGCTGCCAGTGCCTGGCAGGAGCTTTGATCAAACTCTTGTAGGTTGATTACCAAGATTCACTTATAAAAGTTGTACATCAAATGCAAATAAAACAACATCTCCCCCAAACCCAGTAGTCATTATTGTGGTGACATGGTAATTTGCATTTTATTTCCTCTTTTAAAAAAAAAAAAAGTTTTTGTGATAAGCCCTGTTAAAGGTACTTCACAGGCAGAAGAGCCAGGGAGCAGCTGTGTGGATTGGAGTGGCTCTGGAGAAGTTTGCTGAGGCTTTCCCAGCATGGTGTCCGTGCCCACGGCTCTTGGGAAAACACAGATATTTTCAGGCAAGTTTAACTGAGTGCCTCTCACTGGGGTGGTGGGGGGAGAAGAGGGGTTTATGAGTGGGCTGGGGAGGGGACCCAGGACCTCATTCCAGGGTCTGCTCCCTGGGGAGAGATGAAGGAAGCCGGCAGCACCCTGCTCCGCAGAGCTGTTGGCAGCGTTGCGCTGCCTCCCGCCGCGCTCCCTGGCTCTGCAGCCAGCCCGACACATTCCCTCCTGTACCCAGAGCCAGCCTTCCGAGCGCCGGCCATTTTCCAGGCTAGAGCAGATCTGCCAAGCGCTACCTTAAGAAAAGTTATGCATGACCATATTTAAGGAAGCGGGAGGGGGTGTGCGCTGGCCCCGTCCCAGGGCTCCGCGCCAGCCTGGCCTCGACGCCCGCGCCCGGTGCCGGCCGAGCGCGCAGGTGTCCGGACGCTTCTCCTCCGAGCCAGCCATCGCCTCGACACCTCCCGCAAATGCTCAGCTTCTTCTGGCTGAGGTGAGGGCTGAGGGGAGCCGGGGACGGTGGGGACAAGGAGGGGAAACCCCACTGCTGAGTGAGCGTGAGCCAGAGTCTGGCGCTGCTGCAGAGAGTTCCACTCCGGGCAGTGGAGCGGTGGCTTGTCCTGGCTTGCGTCGGCGCTGGGCAGCTGTGCCAGGGGAAAGGTGTGGGGTGAAAGCCCTTTGTGCTCATCTGCTCACCCAGGTGATGCTTTCTTGCCTGTGGGGTTTGTAGTGAGCTGTGCTAATGCTCCATCGCAGTTGGTGCTGGCGACTTGTCAGTGGGGACGTGGCACCCTCCGGCTGCAAAAGGGACAGCGGGGGGAGGGTTGTCTTGGATCAGCTTTTTTTGTTTTTTTCCGCTTAAAAGCAGGGGCAGATATTTGGGAAGCACAGGGCTGTGGGGAATGGTGGCGGTGCAGGGGTGGCAGAGGGGTGTGCTGGGGCTGGTTGGGGCAGTGTGGGTGTCTGGGTGGCACAATGTTGCAGTGGTCTTCACGCCGTTGGTCTCAACTGAGGTGGTCTTGGCCATGGTAACTACCATGATAGAGACCACCACGGCAGAGACTACTGCATCACTGGGTGTCTACCTGGGTAGTTTTCACCCCAGGGGTTTCAGCCACGGTGACCCCCACAGTGGAGACCACCACAGTGGAGACCCACCAGGGTGTAAACCATTGCACCATCTAGGTCTCCACTGTGGTGGTCTCCAGTTGGTGAGCTTGACTGTGGTGGTCTTAACTACGGCTGTATTGATGTTATGGCAGTCTCTTCCCTGGGAACACCGTGGGTGGCAGGGCAAAGGTGCCTAGGCTGGGCGATGCTATTGGGTGTCCCCATGTGTGTGAATTCTGGCCCTGGCAGTGTTTGCAGTTGTACCAGAGTGACATGTGGCTCTGCTCTCCCCCTGGGTCAGAGCCAGACCTTTGTCCCCTGCGACACTCCCTGAAGGACTTCACCCCTGTGCTGCCAAACTGGCACCAGCCTTCCTGAGAGCCTCACGGGAGCTGCAGGGAGCATCTGGGCAGGAGTATGGATGGGGCTGTGGGCATGGCCAGGGCTGGGGATGCTTCACCCGGTGATGGAGAGGGATGTGAGGGCTGCTGCACTCACCCTGAGTTAAGCTTTCCCATGGGTGATGGTTGTAAAGCCCCCAGCCCTTGTAAGAGGAGTCATTCCGTGTCTCCACATTGCCTTTCACCCTCGGTTTGTGCTTTCCTGGCCTCATGCCTGGCTTTGCTCCATGAAATCTAGGGAAACATGACATACGGTGCCAAAAAGCCACTTGCAGGGTGTCCTGGCCTTTCTTCTGGGCTGGCTGCCCTCCTGGGGTCCCACTGAGACCCACTGCAGGGAACCCCCGTGTTTCCTCACCTGTGTTTCCTCAGCTGTGCTGTGACCCAGCAATTCAGTCCCTCTTGTCCCACTGGTTCTCATCCTGGGGAGCCTACACCATCCTGATGGGCATGGGGTGATGGAGTTGAGCTGTACTGGGTGTCTCCATTGCCACTTACCAGTGGGGGTCCTGCTGGAAGGGACATCGCCCTTTGCACAAAACCTGCCTGTGTCATTCCTGGGAACACCAGGGCTTTGGCTGGCACTGGGACCATCAAGCTTTGTCTCAGGGGATGGAGAGCCCTCACTGCCCTGTGGAGATGGCAGAATTTCCCAAAGTAGGTCAGGTTAATTTTTTAACGCGTGCAGATTTGCTTGTTACCATGGATATTGCTCAATTATACACCGATAATCCCCCATGAGAACTTCATTGTCACTGCTTTCCTCCCCCCCATCTCCCCCCTTTTTTTTTCTTCAAATATTTCCAGGGAGGGGTAAAGTTCAGGGGCTGGGGTGGGAGTAGGAGACAGAGCCAGGCTAGGAAAAAGGGGGATTAGGTATTTGGGAGGCAGCAGTAGGCTGGTGGGAGAGCTCTGAGGACAAGCAGGGGTGGCTTAAGGTGTGAGGCTGCCCCACTCTGCCCAAAGCCCCCCACAGCCCAACACAGGGGACCCCAGTATCCCTTGTCCCTTCCTCTCATCCACTGCTTGGGAGTGGCTAAAGCAAACCCCTTGCTTCCAGTGGCCTTAAGGATTTGAGGTACAATTGCTCTTCTGCATCCCTGCCTGGCATCACCCCAGGGGCTGTGGAACCCAACAGAGTTTCAAGCTTGTGGTCCCTGCACGATTTCCCAAGAGGCTGGCACCCAGTTTGGCAGCAGAGACCTTCCCTAAAGCTTATGGGTGTTTTGGTACTGTGGGACATAGGGAATAGGAGAGCTCTGGGATCCCTCTCCCCTGGTATTTGCAGATCCCTTGGAATGTCTCCCCCACCGTGCCCTTCCTGGTTTGCTCTGTGGGCTCCTTATGCCTTCAGCAGCACAGGACCTGAGCGTGGCAGGAGGCAAGAAAAATATTATACTAGAAGAGGTTTTTTCCTAATGCAAACTTTTTTTTTTTTTTTTCTTTTTGATAGAAGTGGGTCACTCGAGGGGTGACAGAGTAAGAGCATCATCGCCTGGGTACTGCATCCCGTTGCCATGGTGACCCAAGGGCTGCATCAGTCAACAGCTTTAAAAATGTGACAGTTGAGTGAGGCTGAAGATTTTAATGAGGACAGACACTTGCTCGCTTAGTTTCGATAACAAATACTCCATAAATACCCACTGGCTGGATGGTTCCGGGTCTCTGGAGCGTGGCTGGGGTGCTCCCCTTCCCCAGGGTGGGAGCGTGGGCTGGGGCTGCCTGGGAAATAACAGGGGGATGATGCAAGGCAGACAGCTCTGTTTTTTTCCCCCTCCTGCTAACGCAACCCAGGGGACAAGCTGACACGATTGCCAAGCCAGGACCAGGTTTGGGTTTCCAAGGAATGTCCCTCTGGCGCTGTCTGCTGTGGCTATGGGGTGTAACAGGACCGCCCTAGCCACCGCTTGTCCCTGCAATTAGGGAGCAAACCCATTTTGCTAAACAGAAGAGTAACCTTTACACTAGGCTCTTGCAAGGGTAGGTGAGCAATAAGGAAGCTCCCAGGCCTCCATAACAAAGCTGGAGAGGTCTTGAGGCTGGGAAAACAGAACACGGTGCCACTGGGGCAAGGGTGGGAGGCTATGAGAGGCTCAGTGCTGCCCTTTGCACCTGTAGGTGACCTGAGAACCCTCATTTTGTACCAACACTGTGTGATGCCCAAACCTCAGCTCCTGCAAAGGGCTGAGGGCACAGGAGGCAAACCTGCAGCTTCCACTTTTTTAACCCCATGCCAAAATCAGTCAATCCCACGCCTTGCGAAAGGAGCTACTGCCTCCAGCAACCTGGTTGTACCTGCGTGGGAGAGGGAGGTGTGCTGGGAAGCTGAAGGCACGCCAAGGGCCTGGAGGTGTTGTGTTTGAAAGCAAACTGTAAATATAAAGCCTCTTACACTTGTTTTTGCTGCAGCTCCCACTCTGCCTTTCCTTGCAATGTCACTAAGATGTCCAGCTGGGACCCAGTCACCGTGCATGTGGCCTGGGAGCCTGAGGGCGCCCAAGGACACACAGTGCCCTTGGGGAGTGCCAGGGCTTCAGAGGCAGAGGGGCTGGAGCAGAGCACAGCAGCATTGCTGGCATCGGGCGCTTCCCATTTGCTGCCCCTGGTACCACCCGTGAGCAGCCTGAGCCCTGCCCACCGCCAAAAATATGCTCCTGGCTGTCTTGTGACTGCGGCGGTGTCACCACTCTGGCCAGGGGAGCTTCAAGTCCTCTCTCACGTGTAGCAACACGAGGAAGCACTGACACAGCATCGCTGACCGAGGGATGGGCCATGACCCTGCGTCCTGGGCTAAGTCCAGCACCCCAAAATAGTTGGACTCTTTCATTGCAGCCAGTGACCATGGGTCCTGACCCCCAAGGAATGGCAGGCATTAGCCCAGGTTCTGCCCTTCTCTGTTTCGGCTCTGGCAGCCCCCTAATAAGTTCTGGTGAGGGGTAAGAGGTGTGGGGAGGGACATCAGCATGGGATGTGGGGACAGGGTGTGACAATCCGACACACACACTGTCTTGTCCCTGCTGGTAAACGGCCACTCCCAATCTGCCAATCCTGCTGTAACCAGAGCCACTCTTCTGCTTTCCAGGTGTCTCTTAAAAATGGTCAAGGGGAATATTATAGTCCCTGAAGAGATCTTGAACTTCTGTTGCAATGGCCTCCAGGTACCCCTCATGCCGTGCAACTAACCCCAGGGCTCCCCACTGTGCCAGTGGCTACTAACCAAGGCAAATGCCATCCTGTGCCAGGAGCTGCTCTCAGACCTGCACTGGCCCCAGTTGCATCTGCTCCCCATCAGCATCACTGCTCATGTGCTGGCTACCTCAGAGTCAGAGCTTTTCCTATGGGTAGCAGCTTTTCCCCTAAAATTCAGGAATGTAAAACACCAGGAAAATGACCATTGGGATCTCTGGCCAGGCTGTCTGCTCGCTCTGCAGCAGGCGGCTTTGGAGCTCTTTGCATTGCTGGCTTGAGCCCCAGAGCCTGCTGGCTTCCTGAAATAGCTCTGTGGTACTCATGTAGGCGCCTCTGCACACTGGGAAGCAGCCTGGGAGGTTCACAGAGGGGTTTGGAGCCTGCTGGAGGGGCTCTGGTGGCTGAGGGTCCATCTCACTGCGGGATGGGGGGCCCTTTACCATAGGCTTGGCTTGGTGCGCTTGCCTCCGTCTCTGCTGAGGCAAGGTTTGTGCTGTTCCTGGAATGTCGTGTACCAGTAGCTATGGAAACAGAGGTTTGACCCGCTGGAGAAAATGCTATTCTGAGAGGCAATGAGCTCAGGGTAGTCAGGAAAGCTTCATTTTCAGCATGAACTGGTCTTTGAAAGAATCCAGGCAAAGCAAAGGGCAGAGAGGCTGCTGCAGTGGGACTCTCGCAACAAGTGCTGTGAGCAGGAGCCGCAGAGGGAGCAGAAAGCGGAAGGAAGGGCTGTGACGAAGCCCAGACAACTCCTCAAGTCTCCTTAATTACTCACTGGGCTAACTGAGTTCACCCCTTGTGTAACACGACTCACTTGACATCTCATCAGCTATTTTCCTTGCCAGCACCGCCACAGTAGCAGCTTCTGTCTCCCATCCTGCCTCGCACCAGGGTGCCAGGGGAGCTGCTCTGTGCCCAGCAAATGGCCAAGCCAACAGGGAACGTATTTTACTGCCCAGGGTGCTTCTCCTCTGCTGCTTGTACCACATAGCTTTCAGTGTTTCCTTTGGCAAAGGGGGGTGTTGGTGGAAAGTGTGGAGCACCACTACGTACGCAAACGCAGGAGAGTGAACCCACCCTGTGCTGCAACACCCTAAAAATTAAGCTGTTAGGGAAGAAAAATTTCTTCACGGAGAGCTGATTGACTTTGGGAGGGGTTCTGCACAGGTTTTGGGAGGAAGCAGTGGGGTTGTGTGATAAATGGTCTGGAAACTGTGGACCTTATTTTAGGGGGATTTTTTTCCTTTTGGCTGTGGGAACTATGTATTTGGCAAGGACTGGGTGGGTTTTGGTGGTGTCCGGGGATATGCAGGGCTGGAGTTCTTCTGGCTCAGTGAGCGGAGTGGGCTGCGTGGTCACTGCTGTCTTGGGGGTTTGGTTAAAACAGAGCTCTCGTCCCACCAGGGCTCAACCTCTCCACCACGTGCCCAGGAACCAGGGGAGCGGGAGGAGGCACCGGGGACCATGGCGAGCCCCTTGCCTGCCCGCAACCCCACCGAGGTGCAGATGAGCCAGCTGGTGCTGCCCTGCCACACCAACCACCGTAACGAGCTCAGCACTGGCCAGCTGCTCAAGTGGATCGACACGGCTGCCTGCCTCTCTGGTAAGCCATCCTCTCCCTCTGGAGCCATTGTCCTGCTGGGCTGGGAGGGAATGACCAGGCAGCGTCCCCAGGAGCCAGCTCATCAGCAGCATGCCTGGCAGTCCAGCACTGTCCCTCAGAGTGATGCCAGTTGGGGACCCCACATCATGCCATTTGCTGAGTAATTAGAGAGCAAACAAGAAGGGGAGGAGACGTGCACTGCAGCATGCATGCTGGCTTAGGGACAGATCAAAATCCACGCCAGCTTCTTTCAAAATGCTGCCCTTTTCCTTGGCTGGTGTGCAGGGCATGGTGAGACCAGGATGGTGACATCCCCAGCATCCCAGCAGCAGCCAGAAGGGAATGAGCTCCTCCACTCAGTGGGAAGTGATGGAGCTCACCAGCTTGGCTGCCCCGCCAAGCACGGGGAAGTTATGACAGGAAACAGGTTCAATTCTGCAGTTTGATGAGGTTCCCAGAGCAGATTTACAGTGTGAGGTTCCTGGAGTCCCAAGGGAAAGCCAGACGGGTAGAGCGGCTTCAGAATATTTGCTGTGCATGGGGAGATGGTATCAGCTGCTGTGCATCCCCACAGCTGCAAACATATGGAGGGAAGGCAAACATCAGGACAACGTGCCTCCCAGTTATACTCACAGCACACCCTCAAAACCTTTGAACATCTGCAAATCCATGCTGCTGTGGGAGGAGAAACGCCAAATCCCACTCCTGTCCCCTGCAAACGCACCAGCGGACATGAGCAGGGAAGGGATGCTGGTTGGAGTATCATCGGTGTCACCAGCCATGGGGCAGTGGAGCGCACGTGCCCCTCGCACCCTTGGCGTGTTGCTGCAGGTTGCTGATGCAGTTTGTTTTTCCTTTCCAGCTGAGAGACACGCTGGCTGCCCGTGCGTCACGGCTTCCATGGATGATATCTATTTTGAGCATACCATTAGGTAAATACTCTGCACTCCAACAGGGCACACACAAGGAAACGGAGGGGATTTTCCCGTCTGCTGGGTGCAACATGGACAGTGGGGCTGGATCTGGGAGCAGCGTGCCTGGGAGAGGAGGAGATGCAGTGGCAGTGCCAGGCTCACAAGGCAGCCAGGGACTGAGGCTCTGTCTCTGCCGCAGGGCTGAGGAACGACTGTCTGCTCTGATTTATCCTCTGTCTGGGCCCTGGGGAGCTCCTGCTGGGTTGGCTTCCCGGTATTTCCCCCAACGCCAGCTCCTCCCTGGCTTTGTCTAAGAAGCAACTCTGATTTAGTGCTCTGGAAAACTCAAATCTTGCAAATCGTGCCTCTCTAGTGGCCATGTGGGTGGCTGGGGCGTGGTGGTCCTCCCCCACCCACTGGCTGCTGGGGGAGGTGGGACCTCCCTGCACATCACTTTGTGAGATGCATCAGGCTGAGCTTTGCTTGGCCAAACTCCCCTCCCAGGCTTGTTCTGGCAGCCCCTGGGTGCTGTTCCTGCACCCAGGGCTGCCATGTGTCAGGGGACAACATTTCTCTGCGCATCCCTGCAGGTAGTATGGGATCTGCGCAGTATAGAATCCATGCAGTATAGGATCCCTTGCAGTACAGGATCCATACTGTCCAGCCACTCCCTGCTGTGCAGGTCTGCCTACTGGGGCAGGGACCAGTTTGGGTACCCAGGAGTGGCACTGGGGTCCCCAGCTGTCAGATGATTTATTTGACCCCGGGAAGTCTGACTCACTCTTGGGTTTCACCGTCATTCCCAGGAAATGCTGAACTCCTACTTTTGCCCTCTCATATCGAGTTCTGACAGGTTGGTGGAGATGAGCTGCCCATTGCCCTGGGCTCAGCTCCATGACAAATCCACAGTGTGGGGATGTGGTGCAGCCCTGGTGCCACCTTTCACTGGCAGAGGTGGCACCACTGGGGTTGATATGTGCCGCGTGGCTCCAGCTCCCATAGCAGCTTTCCCTGGAAAGCTTTTCCCCATGGGTTTTGGGAGCAGGATGACAGATGCAAGCCCTGCTCCACAGCATTATATCAAGCCCTGAAAAGCATTTGTCCCTCCTCAGGGGCGAGTCAGGCACCACTCCAAGGGGTCAGGGAATTTGCGCTGCTCCTGGCTCAGATCCCATTTGCTGTGGTCCAGCTTAAGGCTCCAAGCAAGGGGCCTGGCAGGGATTTCCCGCAGAGATGTTGGAAGGCGGAGGAGCTTTGTGGTGTTTGTTGTTGGCTCTGCTCCTCTCCCAGCTGTTTGTGCTTTCTGCTGCCCTCCCACTGTGGGGGAGAGGCAGGGAGGAGCTGTAGGTGCTTGGGGGCACGGAGGAGACCCCAAAACATCACTAACTTAAAACTCATCAGCTGTGCAGCAGATCCTCCCTATCCTTCCGCCCTGCCTGGGGAAGTGCAGCCTCCCGGGAGGATTGCATATACCTTTGAGCCAGGCTTTTTGTGGCTTTTATGGCACTGGCTTGTACTGTTTGATAAGGAGAGAGAAGATAAAGTATTTTTGGGGCTGTGTATCTACATCTGGGGCTGCCAACGTGCCAGCCCAGCCCCCTGCCCTCGCATGCCCTTCACCTCAAACACATCCGGAGCATCCGTGTGGCCGCTTCCATTGCCTCTAACCCTCTCCCCCCATCTTGCTTTCTCTTTTTGCACCAGCCAGCCGTATCTAAGCCCTGCGGGGCAGCGGGACGGGAGGAGCGGTGTCTGGTACGGATGTTTGCAGCCCTAGAGCAGCCAGCCTAACGCAGCTCTGCCGTGAGTTGGGAGCATTAACCCCACTGACGTGGCATGGCATGGTGAATGGAGGCTGCTCACGTAACCCTGCTAATGTTTTGGCATGTCACTGGGCCCGGGGTCTGTGCTGGGCGATGGCTGGAGGCACCATCCCAGCCTCAGGCCGCCCCTGCTCCAGCCAGAGCACACGTGCACAGTGTGTTTGAGTAGCAGAGATCCTTTTAAGCCAGAAGTCATGCAGGGGGCAAGGGGAAAGTTACAGTGCTGAAGCACTTGCTGACTCTTCCTTGCTTCTGGTTTTGAGCCCTCTGTGGAGCAAACCTGCAGTGATGGTGACAGCATTTATTTTTCCAGGGTTTTTCTAGCATTGGCCTCTTTTAGGGAATGAGGCATATTCCTGATTTAATATGGCATTTGTTAAAGACTGTTTGCTGTGGGTCTCAGTAATAAGCTTCATTTGCTTATTTTGTGGGTACCAGTTTGCAGTGGGTTAGGCTGCAGAGCTGAAGTAGACAGAGGAGAGCTCCTGGACTCTGAAAGCTGCAGTTTGCTGCTAGCTACAGTTTGCTGCCAGCAGATGTTCAATTTAGGAGATGGTGCAAAATGCCCCTGGCTGGATCCTGCCTCCTGCCATCTCTGAGTATCCTGAGGTGTCCATTGCTCTAGGGGAGGCCCTGGAGAGGAGGAGGAACAGGAGCAGTCAAGGTACCTGCAGCTTTGGGTCAGTGGCTGAGGGCCCACGGGAGGCCCCACAGCTGTTCCCGTTGTGCAGGACAGTGGATGCAAGGCTGGAGGAGCCGTTTGCTCTGGCAGGAGTGTGCATGCCTACATGGGCAGCGGGTGCCAAACAAGCCTTGGGAACCTCCTCTGCTCCGGAGTGACATCTTATCCAGCTGGGCTGGACAGCTGTGGGATCTCATGTCATAAAGGTGGCTGTCCCTATGTCCTGCTGGCCATCCAGCATGTCCCAGAGTCCCAGGAAGCCTTACCACAGTGGATAGTGAACTGTAATGCTGTGGCACCTCAGTGGGAGCTGCTCGGTGTCCGTTTTCCCTCAGTAACCCCACACACTTTCTCCTGTTCCTGTTTTTCAGTGTCGGGCAAGTTGTCAACATCAAAGCCAAAGTGAACCGAGCCTTTAACTCCAGCATGGAGGTTGGTGTGTACCCCCCACCTTCACCCCCTGCCCCTGTCCCTCCACACAACGAAGTGCCAAATCCCCAAATCCTCCTGCCGTTCCCAGCTTTGATCCCATGTGTATATCCTCTCTGGCTGGCTCTGTCCAGGGGTGCTGGGTGGGATGTTGTTCCCTGGGGAGCAGAGCCAGCTCTCAGGGATGCTGTGCCCTCTCCCAGGTGGGCATCCAGGTGAGCTATGAAGATCTGTGCAGCGGGAAGCACTGCAGTATCTGCAAGGCGTACGCCACCTTTGTGGCACAGAGTCCCTCTGGCAGCAAGGTGAGCATGGTGTCTCGGAGGGCTCAGTTGTCCTCTGCACAGAGGCAGTCAGGAAATGGCCTCTCTGGGGCTGATCTGGGCCCAGCTTTCCATCAGGACACTTCCTGCACACTGCAGGGTTGATGATCCCTTGTCCCATGCTTGTGGGATGCAGCGTGGGGGCTCTGCCCATGTACAGTGGGACACACGGTGTTGCAGGAGCATGGTGCCCGAAGGAGCCCTGCCTCCTCTGGCAGTGGGACTGCACTGCCCCATCCCCTTTGCAGGTGAGGCTGAAGCCGCTGACCCCACAGACAGAGGAGGAGAAGATTGAGTACAGCATTGCCGCTGAGCGCCGCCGCATGCGGCTGGTGCACAAGGACACCCTCAAGGACCTCCTCACCCGCAGCCCCCCTGACACCGGTACCGTGTCCCACAGCCTGGGTTTCCATCCCCAAAATAGCCCCGATGCCCACTGGTGACAATCCCCTTCCTCAGCAGGATGCTGGTGGGGAACAGTGATGATCACCATGTGGAGGGTTGGGCAGGCCCTGGTCATGGCAGGGTAGGGATCAGCCCCACTATCCCAGACAATGTGTGTGAGGTTGATGCAGTGGGAGGGCAGCTGTGAGGAGAGGGGGAAGGGCTGGTGGGATGCTGGGAGCAGGGGTCCCAGTGGTCATCCAACACGCTGAACTTTGTTCTCCCAATGTGGCAGAGCTGGAGACACGGGACGGCAGTGGGGCAGTGCCGGCGGAGAAGACGCGTGTGGAGAGCGTGGAGCTGGTGCTGCCTCCACACGCCAACCATCAGGGCAACACCTTCGGTGGGCAGATCATGGCCTGGATGGAGAATGTGGCCACCATTGCAGCCAGGTGACCCAAGAGGCATTCAGTGTAGGGGATGGTGTGCCTGGAGGGAACACGCGAGCAGGGCAGAATCTGGCTGTGACCACAGCTGGGTTGTAGGGACCTTCCAAAGGGATGGTCCCCAGCATGTCACCCTTGAGCGATGCCATACAGGGAGTCCCATGGATGTGTAGAGTTGAGGGACCCCAGGGAAGGGTTGGCTTATTGTCCCTTCTCATGGCTGGCTTTGATAGTTGAAATCCAGGAGTGACATTTTTTGGGGTCCTCTTGGTTCTGACTGGGTCGGGGAGGGTGTGCCATGGGACTATGGCTGGGGAGTAACTCCTGCCCCTGTAGCCGGCTGTGCCATGCCCACCCCACACTGAGGGCCATCGAGATGTTCCACTTTCGGGGACCTTCGCAAGTTGGGGACCGCCTGGTGCTCAAAGCCATCGTCAACAATTCCTTCAAAAACAGGTGGGTGCTGGCAGGTGGAGGTCCCCATCCCACCTGGGTAGGGGCCCCATCCCACCCTCCTGACGGCTTTACACGCTCTCACCCCTTTCTCTCCGGCAGCATGGAGGTGGGGGTCAGCGCCGAGGCGTACGGCCAGGAGATGTCTGTCAGCCCACGGCACATCAACAGCGCCTTCATGACCTTCGAGGTGCTGGACCAGGAGGGCCGGCCCCGCACGCTGCCCATGGTGGCACCCGAGCCAGGGGTAAGGATGGGCAGGGATGGCTTCTCTGGAGTTCTGTGGGACCCCTGGGAGTCCCGCTCAGCCCTGAGGGGCTCTCAGATTCACAGCAAAACAAATGCAGTTTTATGATGATGGAAATGAAATTGCTCAATAGCAAGTGAATTAAATGGATTGTTCGGTATAACTAATAAAATAAACCACTTGCCTGTGCAGGGATGGAGATGTATTAGCCATGCAAGGCTTAACAGGGAATTGCCTGCAAATTCCAGTTCATTTTTTCTATAATTTAGGGGAAAGAATGCAAACCTCTGAGGTTGTTTTTACTTTTCAAAGCGTCCTAATCCATAATTTGCTCAGATCCAAATATTTAAGGAAATCTGTCACATGAGCACAGCAACAAAGCAAACTCAATCTCAACTTCCCCTGAGCTGATCCTTGCCCATCTGCCTGATTTTTTGGATACCTTAAAACTAGGGTCTCCTACCCCGATGAAGATCATCTCATGGCCAGAGTCAGGCTCCCTGAAACCTCGTAGCCAAGCCTGCTTTAAAACACTGCGCTAGCACTTTCTTCAAAATAGGCTGGTTTCTTTGGGGTTTTATTCCCCCAAGAGAGGACATTGGCAGGTGTAAGGGGACATGATTTGTGTTTCAGGGGCTATTTGCAGCTTTGCAGCCACAATAAGGGTTTTCCCTAATGTGCCAGTGCCCATCATTGATCACGCCGTGGTGGCAGTGCCCAAATAGCTCACAATTAATCACTAACCACCACTGCAGTATAGCTGGGGTGGCAGCCAGCGAGTGCAGGGGTTTTACATGTTTCCTGTATCCTTTAGAGCCCTTTGGAGGGTGGAAAAGACAAATGACTGGGTTTTTTTCCTCCTTTTCCTATTAACCTAATTGGCTTTTCCCATTTATCAGGATGGAGAAAGGAGGTACAGAGAAGCCAGTGCTAGGAAAAAAATTCGGCTGGACCGGTGAGCAGAAAAGCAAGTGGGATGTGGGCATGGAGGAGGGAGGAGAGAGGGACCCTGCGCTTGGGTGCAGGGACAGTCTGTGGGTGGTTTGTGTCCCCTCATAAGGGAAACTCTTCCTTTCCTGCAGAAAATACGTTGTCTCCTGCAAACAGACTGAGGTGCCACTCTCTGTGCCCTGGGACCAAAGCAACAAGGTAGGAAGGATGCTTCCCTGAAGGAGCCTCTGCCTCCTCCCCAGCGTCCTGCCCCTGCTCTAGCCCCTGACATGCTGCCCCTGCCCCAGGTTTATCTGAGCTACAACAACGTCTCTGCGCTGAAGACACTTGTAGCCAAAGCGAACTGGGCACTCGCCAGGGAAAAGGAAAAGGTACCAAACCCTGCCCCTTCCCCGCAAGATGCCCCTCACCCCCAAATCACGGGCAACCTGGGGGCTTGATGTTGGGGAACACATCCCAACCGTGCCCTGTGCTCCCGAAGGTGAGGATGTACACGCTGGAGGAGGATAAATTCCTGTCCTTCCGCATTGAGATGTCCGTCTGCATCCCAGCCAGCCAAGCCTTCTCCCTGCTCTCCGACCTGTGGCGCCGGCACGAGTGGGACAGTCACTATGTGTGAGTGCTGTAGGGCTGGGCACCCAGCCCTGCCCAAAAATCACACCCCTAAATTTAAGGCTTGTGGTTGAGCGTCCCTTTGGGCTTTCTTGGGAGCAAGTGTGTTGCCCTGGAGCCACGATTGCTCCTAGAAACTCTCCACTGTATGTCTCCATCCTGACTCCACCTGGGCTGATGGCTGCAGAAAACATCTATTTTGGGTCCCCCAAAATATTTTGGGTCCGGTGGTGGGCTGTAAATGTGTAAGCCCCCAGATCTGGGAGGGCACAGTGGGGTTTCTGTGACCAGTTGCCTCCTCTTGCAGGAGTGCTGAGCTCGTCCAGAAGGTAGATGATGATGACATGATCTACCACGTGGTGAGCCGGATGCACAGACAGGAGAGCAAGCTGCAGGACTTTGTCATCCTGGCATCCCGGCGGAAACCCTGCAGCAAGGGGTAACTGTCCCTAACCCCACCCCTGCTCCCTGCCAGCTGGGCTGTGCTGGCTCACCTGGCCTCTCTCCTTCCCAGGGACCCCTATGTGGTGGCCTTTCGGTCGGTGACGCTGCCCACACACCCCCCCAGAGCTGAATATACACGTGGGGAGACACTCTGCTCTGGTTTCTGCATTTGGCCGGAGTCAGAGGAGATGAGCAAGGTGGGATGCTGTGACCATGCTGCGGGGCCATGCTGCCCACACTCCACGGGGGAGGCTCCTTCTTCCCCACGTGCCCCAAATGACCATCTCCTGTGCCTTGCAGGTGGCTTACTACAACCAGGCTATGCCGGGGTACCTCAACTACGTCACCACCAATGTGGCAGGGCTGTCCTCTGACATCTGTGCCACCTTTGAAGCCTGCGAGAAATTCCTGCTGAAGAACAAAGAGGACCTGATCTCACAGCTGCAGGACTTCTAGAGCCACAGCACCCTGCTGACAGACGGACACAGACAAAGGGACACCTCCATGTTGGAAGGGGATGTGGATTGTGGCACCCAGACCCTGCCTCCCTGGGGCTTGGGGTGGAGGGGCATTACTGCACCACCTCATCCCTTGCACTGACATCTTTTCTTCTTTCTTTTTTTTTTTTTTTTTTTTTTTTTTTTTTTTTTTTTTTTTTTTTTTTTTTTTTAGAAATTTTATAAGCTGATGTACAGGACTTGGATTTCTTGTTTTCTTAACGCTACTTGAATCTTTATATGATCCAAAATCTTACTAAACCAGTTTGGTTTTTTTTACTGGTTCTTTGTGGGAGATTACTGGTTCCCTTTAAGGTAGTAAAGGAAGAGAGAAGGCAGTGATATGGAGAGGGTGCTCTACCCCTCCCCAGTGCAGGGGTGGCTGGCAGTGCATCCCACTCTCCCAGGTGCTGTTTCTCTTCCCAGGCAAGGCTGACAAACAGCCCATGCTCCTGCTAGGCTGAAATCCTACCCCATGGGGCTGTGAAAGGAGTAGCAATAAAAGTGCATTGAAAGGAAAAATATCTGTATGTGCTCTGGGTGAATGTCTGCTGTGGGGATTTGCTGTGTTGCTGCCTGGGTGGCAAACATGGAACAGGAATCCTGCCCCCACAGCACACCCCAGGCAGGTGCCATTTCCCTTACTGAGGAGAGGGACGGTGCCCCAACAGCTGCTGCCTGGGGCTTAGGTGGATGAGGGGGATCATTTGAGGCAGGACTTCGTGCTGTAGGAATGGGGTGTCAGCTGGTGCTCCATGAGAGTGGCCTTTGGGGACTGCCCGGAGGCATTGCCACCATGCCTGGGGCAGACCTGTGGAGCTGCCCCTCATCTCTGTCTGCTGGGTGCACCAACACCTGAGATGTAACCCCCAGACTGCCTCAGGGGTGTTGAAAAAGTGAAAACCAGACAAAGCTCAACCTTATTTCCTGAAGTCTGAGATGCTCTCAGAAAGCCACTGGAATGCAGCAGGGGTGATGTGGAAGTGCTACTCATCAGTCACAGCCCAGGGGACATCTGCCCTCAGCCCTAGCCCTGAGGGGAACCCCCTCCCAGGCCTTCCTGGGTCACACAGTCAGAGGTTTTCTGATGAAACTGATGTTCTGAAGGGCTTGCTGCCTGATGGGATAGGGACAGGCCCCAGGAGCCCTTGGGCATGCAGAACTTTGCTTCCAGAGCCCCATGAACTTAAACCCAAGGAAAGGTTTTGCAGAGCTTAACCGTGAGCAAGTGATGATGATGCTGTGCTCAGGGTACGATGGGGTACCAAAAATATGCACAGGGTCTTTTCCAGGCATCCCAGGGTGTCTTTTTCCTTTCTGCAACATCCAGTCCTTAAAAAGGATATTTGCCACCCAAATTCCCCACCTGGTTTATAAGCAGGTGCTCCTGCCCCTCTCTTGTGGCCACAGGCCAGTGGCTCCTAACCCTGGGCTGGCTGTGGCCATAAACCCCTTAACTTTGTTGTATCTTTATTGTATCTTCCATCATAAATATCTCAAGGCTGGCACAGCTCTGCCCCGACCTCCACAAGATAAAGCCATCTCAGGCTGACCATAGTACAAAACATTCAATTTTTATAGAGCCCTCTTATCTCCCAAAACTCAGAGCAATCCTGCCTTTTTATCATCAGGACCTGAGACATCCTTTCTACTTATCCTTAGGAATTGCTGCTGCTTGATTAGGTGGAGGGGATGATGTATTTGCCTGAACATTAAACTTTAGCTGACCTCTCCTTCTCCTTAAGTATTGTGCTTTTTACCTCTACCAGGCCGCGGTCAGCCCTGGCTCTGGCCTGGCTGGGTCCCTGGGGATGCAGAGGGATGGAGCAGGAGTAACCTGGGGGTGTGACAGAGCACTGCAATGTTGTGAAATGTCTCATGGTTATCTACATTTGGAAGAAAATTGCAGTCCTGCAGCACCTGCTGGCCCTCAGGCATAGGGGAGCATGGACAGCAGGACTGCGTGGCTTGGAGCATCCCTGGAGCACCCAGCTCCACTGCCTAATCCCACAGCCAGCTCCCAAGGGAGGAGAGACCTGCTGGTGGGTGCATTCAGACCAACCTGCCCTTACCAGCTTTTCCCAGAGCCCTCCCAACCAAATGCACCACACCAGGACCAAATCAGCAATCAATCACCACTTTTTTTTTCTTTGATTAAAAGGGGAGTTACTCCCCTGCTCTGAACAACCTTTCCAGCTGTGGCTTCTTTGCATGAAAACACCCAGCTGCCTTGGTGCCCTCAGCTGCTAATTCCTGCAGGGAGACAGACGATTTAGAGAGGTAGATCTGGGACCTCCGGATCAGGAGGGCTGCAGGGCAGCTGCCCATCACTGCATTTCTGCCCAGGATGATGCAGTGAACAAAGCCCAGGCTGCCTTCCCTGGGCCTCTGCCATCCTGCAGTGGACAGGGCTGCTGGAGGATGGAGCAGGGAAGCATACCAAAAATTCCAAGAATCTTTTGGAAAAGAAAAGACCATGAAGATGGATGGGAATTTACAGGCCAGCACTCCAGGTGGGATCTGAGTGCCTTCTCCAGTATGCTGCCATCAGGAGAAGGTTTAAGGACCTGATTTATAGATGCCTAAATAAAAACATGGAACTAATACATCACAATACACTGAGTATTTATCCATTTTGCAGGAGGAGTGGGATGGAATTAGAAGGCAGCATCTCTTTTAAGGCCATCCCTGCTGTAATTCATGCCCCGAGGCAACCTACCAAGGGGAGGAGAAAGAATTCTGCAGGCAGCAGTATTGATGGGCTACTCCTAGCAGCTTTGTTTTAATTAATTTCCAAAGTGCTCCTTGTAGTGGATCAGGCAGCTCCTTCAAAGCCTCCTTCCACCCGCTGCTGCCTGTGCTCTTGTGCTGTGCCAGCGTGGGGTCTGGGGTAGTGGGGTGTGCCTGGGAGTGTCTCTGCTCCTTCAAGCCCCCAGGCTTTTTTGGTTAAAAAGTGCAGAAGCTGTTGCTGCTTTTAAGCAGGGGGGGATTCCCCCTGGCCAAGGGGCCTCTTTGATGCTCACAGCATGGGCAGGCATATTTGTCAGGGCTTTTCTCTTCCCCTTTTTATTGACTTTCTGCTTGTTCCTGCTGCCAGGGGTCAGCTGGGGCGTTGGCTGGACTTTGCCAAAAGTCCACCCAAACCAGCCGGTTCCCAGGTGCTGACGCAGGGCCCTGCCCCTAAGATACAAGGGATTTGAGCTCTGGGTTTGCAGCCTGGTTGGGTGTGTGGTGGTGGGGCTGGGAAGGGCTAGGAAGGCTAAGTAAGCGGGTTTGTGAACCTGAACTGCATTTGCCCTACATCCAGTAAGGTGAGAGCAGTAACTGCAGCTCAGCACCGAATTTGGAGGTGTCTTGGCTGACATGGAGGGACCTGTCCCCATCCAGGACGCCATGCTGACCGACACGGAGCCCTCCAACACCATCAAACTGCTGCACCTGCTTTTCCTCTCCACGTCCTGGGGAATGCAGATCTGGGTGACTTTCGTAGCCGGTAGGTTGGGGTCTGTGTGCACTGCTGTGGCTCTCTGCCCAGGCGGGAGGCCCAGGGGAGGGGGCTTTGCCCCAGGACCTACCTGCTCTCCCCCCTTGCAGGGTTTGTGATGAGCAGACACCTCCCTCGCCACACCTTCGGCTCCATCCAGCGCGAGCTCTTCCCCTACTACTTCCACATCAGCTCCACTTGCGCCTTCCTCAACTTGACTCTGTTTGCCATGTGCCACCCCAGCGAGCACCTCAGCGAGGAACATACGACCCAGGTAGCTGCCTTCCCCTCTCAAACATGAGCTGGCTGTAGCCTGAACCCCTTCCTCTGCAGGGTCCCACCCTGCTCTGCTCCGCTGAGGCTGGTTTGCACACGATGTGAGTTCCACACGTGGCTCCAGTTAAAGAAAGCAGTTAGCACCCAGATTGCAGCGAGCCTTGTGTGCAAGAGGGGCTGGGGGAGAAATTTAACCTACAACACGTGCGGGATATTCACAGTGGACTTTGCTCCCCCACAGATCATCCTCTTCTTTGTTTGCATCGCTGCTTCTGTGCTGAACACACAGTGGTTCGGGCAGGTCACCTCCGACATCGTGGCAGACCTGCACGCTGTGGAGCGCAGCCACGGCCTCGGCCAGGAGGTCGGGCTGGTGGCCAGCGAGTCCCGCAGGAACCTGCGAGCCTCCAACCCCAGCTACAGGCAGCTGTGCCGGCAGTTCGCCCTCTACCACGCTCTGTCCTCCCTCTGCAACCTCTGCTGCGTTGTGTGCAATGGCCTGAGCCTGTACCACCTGGCTGCCAAACTCTCTGCCCTGTGAGGGCAGGGCACTGCAAGGCGATCGATGGCCGCCTGGCCAGAGCCAACATACCGTGAAAAGCGAGCCATCCTGCTGCCTTGCTGTGAAGTAACTCTGAGGTTTGGAGATTAAATTGCAACATCCTCAGGTGGAGATACTCTTACTGTATTTGGGCATGGTGCAGAAATTCAGGAATAGCAAAATGGAAATGCTTTCTCTGCAGCTGTCTGAAAGCAGCCTCCGTGATCTATGTGTGTTTATGGCTCAACAGCTTTCTTAATGCCCTCTGCATTAGCTGTGTTTAAGACTGCAGTGTATTTCTGCAGTCAGAGAGACTGCAGAAGAGAAAGAAATGAGATTTAGAATTACTTTTAATTAAAAGCTGAAAGCTTATAGAGAAGCACAGAAGACCCTGTATGTTTGCTGTATCAGTTAGTGTAAAGGATAAGGTTGTTATGTTGGTGTTTACAATTACTGTTTGCCATTCTCTTCCAGTATTTCATGAGGTGAGAAAAAATATTGTCTCATTCATTAGGCAGAAGTCAGTCTAGTTAAAATAGCCATGTTTATTCCAGGTTCTGTAGGACAATCAGTACAGTAGCAAAAGGCTCAATAAAACACTGCTCCAAACCAGGAGCTCTGCTGTACCTTGGCCAGCAGCAGAGCCAAGCAGTGACAAAACAGCAGCTGCTGGATCCCAGGCAGGGACTTGATTGCATCTGCCCTGCTGTAACAGGCAGGTACTGCCCCAGCCCACTTGCTGTTAAACCCCAGCAACTACAGCCCACCTCTGAGGAAATCTGTGATTCTTCTCAGGTAAGGAACTGCATTTCCAGCTGCTGCTGCTGAAACCACAGCCAGTGTTTGGCACTGCATCAGGTTTATTTCAAAACCACATGCAGCCTATCACAGAGGAGACCTTCTGCAAGCCAGCTGGGTTTCTTTTTAAACAAATAATCCCCTCATGTAATCCCTTCATTCTCCTTTGCTGCTTTCCTGGAAGTTTCCCCATGTGCCAAGATTATTTCTCTTCCCTGAAGTGTGCAAGGTATTTTTGTTCAAGCAGAAGTTTGCAGCCTGTAGCTGGGCTAATGAACAGCAGCCTCTGGCGCAGGAGTCCTCGTTTCACTCTTGCTCATTACAGTCGATGCACCTTCTTCCCAGAGAAGTATTTCTTAGAGAAAGGAGAACGCTTCACAAATACCAAAACTGTTGGAGTCCCAGCCTTTACGAAATACCTGCAAAGATTAAAAGGACTTCTTTGCTTCCTTGTAGCTGGGCAAGTGTCCTGCACAGCAAGTGACTTTCACCCTGCTCCATAAAGACTGACCCTCCCAAAGGCCAGTGACGAGCTTTTGTGCCGATTAGCAGAGCCTCTTGGAGTAGGGGCTAAGCACATCTGAGGAGGAGCGTTTTATGAGTCAACTCCTCTCCCAACAGCTACTTTTAATTAAAGCAGCTGTTATTCTCCCTCTGGAAGGAGGTGTCTCTTGCAACTGCCCTTACAGCCTGAAATCTGAGGGCTTGTGCACGCTGCTGAGTTTTATGGAGTGACAGCTTGGCCAGAGCCTGCAGCAGTGACCGAGATCCCACTGTGACAGCCCGTGCTGTGCAGCAGCTTCCTCCAGCTATGAGATGGTGCAACCTAACAGCACAGGCTTCACAATAACTTTTTGGCTTTACAAACAGCAAATTCTTCTCTCTCAATAACTGCACAACGCTTTAAAGCCAGTTTCAGAGGGGAACAGTGCTGCATGCTGTGTCGGGGGCTGCTCACACAGCATTATGAACAGTGAGAGCATTGTTAACCTTCAACATGCTCTTTATAGGCTGCTGCTTTTTTTTTTTTTTTTTTAAAGTAGTACTGTGTAGATGGGATCTGGAACAGCCTTTTTGTGCTGCTCAGCTGTTCCCAGTTCCCCTTCCCATCTCCATCCAGACCTGGAAAGAGTTGTTCATTTTTTTGTGGGGGAAAACATATGTAAGTCACTAAAGCCAGGCACAAAATCCATGCAGCCTTACTGCTTTATACCTTTAAGATGAAGGACTATTAAATCAGAGAAGAGTTAGAACTAATAAAGAACAAACTGGACTTAAAACCCCAAGCTCATACTTTTTGCCTTCTTTTCTTTGGACGTGGACTTGTACAGCCTCACCTTTCGTGCTGCAGCACTTGTAGCAATGTGTGTTCTGGGTTCACCTCGTACATTTCTTCTCTTTCTTCATCTTCAAAATAGAGCTGAAAAAGGTTTTGGAGGGTTATTAAATGCCTAAGGTACATGAGGGAAGGTACTGGGCTTTCAACAGTTTAGTATCAGCACACCATTATCAACTGGAGGTTTATCAAACCGCTGTAGCTTGAGCCCACCGTGTCAGGTGCTAAATTCAGTGATGAAGAAACTGATTTGTGCAAATTCCAAGTCTTTCCTGTATAAACCAGCTTAGCTTCTGGCAGTAGCAGCAAGAAGGTAAAATACACTGGCTGTTCCTGTGCTTCACAGAGAATCAATCCAAACCTAAGGGCTGCTTTTCAACAGGTGAAACGCAGCAATGTTATGAAATAAATTGAGTCATTTTAAAGGTATTTGAAGAAAATAAGAGTTGATTTAAGAGATTCAAATCCAGCAACAGTGTCTTAGACTGTAAAAACACAAGGAAAAGTACACAGCCATTGTCCTTTTGGGCCTGTCTGCTCACTGTACAAAGGACTGTGCTACTGCCTGGCACAGATGACAGTGAAGTGAAAATGAAAAATAAACATCTCTATCCTTCTATGAACCATTTCAGAAAAACTTTTAAAACTGACTGCAGCCACAACCAACTCACAACCCACCTTTGCTAAACTGTTAATAGAGATATATTGTCGTGATGCGATTATGTGCTTATGTACACCTCAAGTCAGTTCTGAAAATAAACTATTTTTTAAATAGTATTTTCTTATTTGTATTCATCAACTCCACAATGCAGTCAAAAAACCAGGCAGCCTATCAGGTTGATGGTCTAAATCTTAATCATTGTTACAAAGATGCAATCTAGCAATATCTCTAAATACCTTCTATCGAATACAATGTAAGTGGAAAACAGATGAACTTTAATTTGTATTAGTGAATTCTGTTAGCACATCTGGTAAATATTTGTGTTTATAAGTGAATGTAGCTCTCCAGATCCTTGTTTCACATCTGTGAAAGGTAAACAGGTAAACAAATCATACCCTCAAAGCTGTGTATTTTCCCACTCCAGAAAAAAACCCCAAACAAACAAACTTACAACACAACAACCCTGAAATTGAAGGAAAGTCAAACTTTTCACCTCAAGATTGCTGGGAAGGTATTTTCTTTCTAAATCCCAAGGAGGTAACTCAGCAAACATCACCATTAAATGATCAATAAACCTAAAAGCCAAAATACACTTGGTGAGCTCAGACAGACTGTTCAGCTTCAATCATTTTTACACTTGCATTGAATGATGGTAAAAATACATTAGCAAATTAGACAACAGACTTGAAAGTAACTTTAGATCACTAACAGTTTCTTCCCTTTAAACTCATCACTTTCCCGGTGAATCCAAGGCCATATTGTGACTCAGGCTATCAGTTTCAAATTTGAGCAGTGCAACAACAAATTATTTTTAACTTTACATTTTCACACTGAAAAAGATGTCAAAATAAACACCCTGCATTTTATCTAAAATGGATTTTCCTTCTTCCATTAGAGTGACGAGAATATGTTTGTGTGTCAGAGACATGTTTATTTTGGTACTTGAGGAGTGTTGGAGGCCAATTTGTTCTAAAAATCCATTTCCACTTCCTTTGGTCATGAAAAAGTGTAGTGAACATTATCATGTATGTACTACAACTTCAGTAACCTGCTTGCACTGTAATTTTTTAGTTCCAAACTTAATGAGAGATCTGAGGAATACGTATTCCAGAAAAAAAAAAAAAGTTACAAATACCAAGTTTGTAAGATCATTGTATCACTACATCTTCCATTTTAAGATCAGAAATGGAAATTAATATCAAGAAAAGTGGAATTCCCACCTTGCCAGTCACTTGCTTATAGTCTGAAAGGTCTGCAGCAGTTCAGTCAGGTCTGCTGAAAGCCCTCAGAACTGTGAGGTCACTCATAACTGGTGGTTATGAGAGGTCCCTTTTGGAAGCTTTTAATAATTTTTAAGTTTAATCTGTTGATCTGAGACTCCACATTTGGTGGGCTTTGAAACAGCCCCTTAATAAATCTCTAGAATCCACACATGTGGATGGGTCACAGATATTACTGGTCACTAATTAATTACAGGTCTAAGCTTGCACTGCAAGCCCCTTAATGACCCTGGCAAAATGTGTTTGTCTGGGCTATGGATTTATATAAATCATAGAATAGTTCAGGTTATAGAGGACCTCAGAAGGTCATCTAATGCAACCTCCTGCTGAAAAGAAGGGTCAGCTCTGCAATCAGAAATCCAGAACAACTTCATCAGCATGGCAGTGTTTCACTTGCTGTCTGTTCTCATCTGCTCAAACACCTCCCTTATGCAGGAATTCTGCTGACAGTGCATTTACCTGGAGTTCTCATGAAAAGCCACAGTGAAATCTGTCTGCTCGTGCTCAGGGTACAGAAAGAGGACAGGCCAGTTCAGGTTGCCATCAGCATCTAAATGCACCTTTGCTCCTGTGGCGTTGTCAGAGTGGAACCCATCTAAGGATATCTCAGCCAGGCCATCCAATATTTCCTCTTCTTCATTTGAAGGCTCAAGAACCAGCTTGATATTTCTTTCCTGGAGGGAAGGGATGGGAAAAAAACTAAAAAATCAACCAAAAGCCAAACATATATGGCAGAGAGAATAAGAGCAAAAAACTACCAGTCAGTAAAAGGTCAAATTGTGTTGTTCTTAATGAGTCAGCTCTTAAACATGCCATCAAAAGCTTTCCCATAGTATCAGACTCAGGGGACTGGTCTTCCCAGGAGAATCCAGAACCTCAGCCAGGTATCCAGATACCTCATGGAATGGATGAGGAGAGCTGGCAATCCAAAGGAGCCCACACGCTGAGAGAAGAGCCTGAGAAAATGTGTGAAAAGCGATGGATCTAAAATCCTTTTCTTTGGAACCTTGCAGGCATCACTTCAGGGTTCAACTACACACACCAGCTCCCGAGAGCATCCTCTGTTTCAGAAAACTGAAAAAAGCTCAGTCTTTTCCTTGGAAGTCTGACTTTATGTAATAGCCCAAAATATTTTAATGTAGGAGAGGATCTGGGATTGATTCCCTCCTCCACCCTATTGAATGGTTATCTTCTATCCTTCCACTGAAGAAATGCCAATGGGCAGCAAAGAAAGCAAGGTTCCTTGGCTAGTGTTGTTACAGCCCAGCAGCCAGACCATTCACAAAGCTCAGTCCATCTCCTAACACTGGGTTTGTATTTTGCATTAGTTGTTACCTGAATTATGGAAACCTGGAAGCTGCAGTCAGAGATAAGGAGAATTATGGTTTTAGCTCCTTTTTTTGGGCTCTAGCTCTCGAAAGCCCCTCAAAAGAACAAACTTTTAGAGGCAAACAAGAGAGCTCTTAAAAAAAAATCCCAAGCCACACAAAGCCAGCCCCTCTCAGTGACCCACCTTTATTGCTGCAAGCAAGATATCCCTTTGACATTTCTCCTTCTTCTCCATCACCTTTGCTTTCCTTGCATCCCGCTCCTCAGCTCGCTACATGTAAGAAAAGGTTGCACCATGGTCACACACAGCAAGTCAGTGCTCATCACTGCTCTACCCTGTCAAGGGGTGGAGAAATCAGTTTGGGTCTCCAGAAGGGTCCTCTCCAGCTCCTTCTCCTACACAGCTCAACACACACCACGTAGAGCCACCACTCAGTTCTCTGTGGGGATATCACACTACACAGAAACCTGTGTGGAGCACTCTTCAACCAAGGACCCCAAACTGATTCTTGACACAAAGCAGAAGACAAGCACTGCAGATGCCAGACTGCCTTAATATTTACCTTTAATTTGTCAGCTTTAACTCTTGTTTCCAGAAGCTTTTTCTCTGTTGGATCTATTCGCAAGCCCTCCTCACACCACGCTATTGCTTCAGAGAAATTCTTCAGCTCCATGTGACAGAGTGCTCCTGGAAGGATTAAAATTTTAAGTCTGGAGTCAGTGTAAAACTACTACACAAAGTGATGGTTATAAAGACGGCGTTAGGTCTAGGGCTTTTGCACTACAGTTTTTTGTCTTGCATGGTCACGTTCAATCACAGACTTCCAGCAGGTCAGTTGAGAAGAAAAATCTAAAATATTTCATCAGTTCTTGTATTGTTTGCTCATGTGGTCACAGAAATTATAAGAATTATTCTAGAAGTGTCTGTTACAAGCAAAATGTTATCATAATTAACATTTCAGTATTTGTCTGGTAAAGAAAAATAAAAGGGGAATTTCCATAGAGTGAGAAATGCTGGGGAGAAAAACACAAACACACCCCAAAAACTAGTATTATGGAAAACAGGAAAAGTTAGGCTGTGCTCTACAGAAACAAGTTCAGTGCCTCTTTGACAGAGAGAGAAATTGAAGAGCAAAGGATACTATTTTGACTGAAAATCTGAAGAAAAACCCTGAGCTCTGTTTTATGGAGAAACACCAATAACAAAATAAGCGAAGAGAGCTCTTACAGTAACTGCTTTACCTTTCTGAAATTAATTCTGTCCAGAAACAAAGTACGATCCCCACTCACGGTAATTTAATGTTTGTAAACACAATTATTAAACACACAGTAACATGCAAGGAAACAAAGCAACATCTAACAGCAGCCTGTTTCAGGGCTTGTAAAAATAACAGCACAATAAGTAAAGCTAACATGTGCCAAGTGTTTTGGAACCACGTTTCTTACACTCCGTGAAGCAACATGACCTTTAACTCTTACCTCTTATGATTGCTTTGAGATGGGTGGGCTTTAGCTTTTTGGCTTGGATGGCGTCATTGAGAGCAGAACGGTAGTTACCTACAAATCAAGTAAAACTGCTCAGAACCTTGCATTTATATTTGAAATTCAACCAGACACCAAGGTGACAAAACAATTTATGCAGAGACCCTCTATGTCACTGTTTCTACAATCACTGTGAGGTGAGAAGAGGATAAAAAGGAGTAACTTGGGGGTAAAAAGTGAAAGGACAGGAATCAAACACACCAGGTGAGGGATAAGTAACATTTCCCTACTGCAACACACAACAGCATTAAAAAGCCAAGAACACCTTCCTTGCTGTGCAGATGCTGTTGGTAGGATGGGTGGTAGCTGTAAGAGATCAGCTTTGTGACCACCTGAGGAACCTGGACAATATGTAAGTCCATGGGACCTGACAAGATGCATCTCAGGGTCCTGAGGGAATTGCCTGATGTAGTTGCCAAGTCACTCTCCATGATATTTGAAAAGTCATGGCAGTCAAGTAAAGTTCCAGGTGACCGGAAAAAGGGAAACTTTGCACCAATTTTTAAAAGGGGTAGAAAGGAGGACCCTGGGAACTACCAACCTGTCAGCCTCACCTCTCTGCCTGGGGAGATCATGGAACACCTACTCCTAGAAGTCGTGCCAAGGCACATGGAGCCCAGAAAGCCAACCGTGTCCTGGGCTGCATCAAAAGCAGCATTGGCAGCAGGTGGAGGGAGGAGATTCTGCCCCTCTACTCTGCTCTCATGAGATTCCACCTGGAGTACTGCATCCAGCTCTGGGGTTCTCAGCACAGGAAAGACATGAACATATTGGGAGTGGGTCCAGAGTAGGCCACAAAAATGATCAGAGGGCTGGAACACCTCTCCTATAAAACCAGGCTGAGAGAGTTGGGGTTGTTCAGCTTGGAGAAGAGAAGGCTCTGAGGAGACCTTAAGTGCACCCTTTCAGTACTTAAAGGGGGCCTACAAGAAAGATGAGGACAAACTTTTTAGCATAGCCTGTAGTGTAGGAAAAAGAGTAATGGTTTTAAACTAAATGAGGGTAGACTGACATTAGATATGATGAAGACATTTCTTACAATGAGGGTGGTCAGGCACTGGTATATGTTGCCCAGAGATATGTTAGAAGCCACATCCCTGGATCCCTGGAAACATTCAAGGCCAGGTTAGATGGGGCTCTGAGCAAACTGATGTAGTTGAAGATGTTGATGCTCATTGCAGAGGGATTGGACTAGATGTCCTTAAAAGGTCCCTTCCAACTCAAACCATTCTATGATTCTAAAAACCACTGGCTTTGCCCTCTCCTGGAGCCAAGGCTCAAGCAGCAGGTTATAGTTGCACTGAACAGAACACAAACGGTACACGCAGCCATGCTCTGAAGTGAGCCAGGTCTTCAGGAGAGTGGAATGAAAATGGAGACGAAAAGCAGCGCAGAGCCCCATTCCCATCCCAGCTGGAGCTGGCACAGGTCCCTCACCCTGGTGGAAGTGTGCGGCCCCCCGGTTCGTGAGCAGCACCGCGTTCAGCTCGGGGTCCTCGCACTTCTTCCGCAGCCCCTCAGAATAGGCGGCGACCGCTCTCCCGTAGTCCTTCTCCTTGAAGTACTCGTTCCCTTCGTTCTTGTACATCCTGGCCAGTTCTGCGGGGGCGGAGGAGGGTGAGGGTCTGAGTGGGGGCGCCTCCAGAACACGCCCAGCACCCCCGCGCGGTGCCCACCTGCGGGGCTCTGCTCCTCGTCGAAGAGCAGCGACTGCAGGCAGGCGAGCTCGGGCTGCCGCGCCGCGTCGATGTCGGCCGGGCAGCGCTTCATGAACATGGGGATGGCCTCCAGCTCCTGCGGACGGATGGGCACGGACACACACACATACATACATGGCGCCCTCAGCTCGGCTGGGCTAGGCACGGCTTAGCTTAGCTCGGCCCCCCCGGCCCCGCCGCCTCACCTGCTCCCACGTGTCGGGGTGCAGCGCGCCCCGGTACCGCGGCGGTCCTGGTACCCCAGACCCGTCATCCTGCCCGTCCTCCGCCATCGTGCTGCCACCTGGCCCCGCCTGCGACCGCCCCCAGCCCGGCCCCGCCGCTTCCGACCGCCCCGGCATCCGACAGCCTCCTGCTCCTTCCGACCGCCCCCTGCTCCATCCGACAGCCTCCTACTCCTTCCGACCGCCCCCTGCTCCATCCGACCGCCCCCCACTTCAGCCCCGCTCTCCACTGTACCTTTAAGTGTCACCTCCCGTGGGGATGGATGACAGAAGCTGATCCCGCCTGGAACAACCGGGAGGAGGCCGAGGTGATCGCCCCGGCCGGCAGCACGTGGGGAGCTCGAGAAGGGTCTGGAGCACCAGGAGTGGCTGAAGGCTCAGGGGGGATTTTCTTGCTCTCTACAACTGCCTGAAAGGAGGTTGTAGCCAGGTGGGAATCAGTCTCTTCTCCCTTGTAACAAGTGACAGGACAAGAGGAAACAACCTGAAGCTGCACCAGAGGAGGTTTAGATTGGATATTAGGGAAAATTTCTTCACTGAAAGCGTTGTCAGGCTTTGGAACAGGCTGCTCAGGGCAGTGGTGGAATCACCATCCCTGAAGGGATTTAATGGACATGTGGATGTGGCACCTGGGGACACGGGGTAGTGGTGGGCTTGGCAGTGCTGGGTTAATGGGTGAGCTCAATAATCTTAAAGGTCTTTTCCCACCTAACCAATTCCACGATTCTATGACAGAGGCATCGCTGTTGCTCATGATCTCTCATGACCCTGGAGCTGCATCACAGGCAAAGTGACTCCCTTCAATGAACTCTCTGTGCAGAAGAGGCTCATGGGGTGATGGCACCAGTCACGACTGCTGGGATGGTAGCAAGCTGTTCCTTATGGGAGCCCCCAGGCCTGGCACAAGCAACCCCCACCCTCATGGATCCTATGTATCTCCAAAGAGAAGATGCAGAGGAAAGGGTTTCCTTTCTCTCCCTCTTAAAATCCCTTGGCACATAGAAAAGAGGCCATGGCCAGCCTGTCAGCCCCAGCTGGGCAGCGAGGGGATGACCCTGCCAGTGCTTCCTCAGCCACACAAGGTTATGTGTACTGGTAAAAGCAGCTCGCAGGGACCTGTACCCAGAGGGGGTAACATCCCCAGCCCTGTGGGAGGAATGTGGGCTGAGCTGCTCAGTCTCAGCACCCAGCACACTTGTAAGACACCATGGCTGGCTCTAACGTGAGCTGGATTTGTCTCTGCTCACCCAGAGCCGTCGCCAACATCCTGCATGTCCTTGAAAAGGAACCAGGGCTGTTTGAATAAACCTAGTGCAGCAAAGATGAGAGATTCAGAGACAAGTAATTTAAGGGACTTGCACTTTACTCAGCAACTCAGTGACACCCTCCTTGGTGAGGAACAAAACCTCGCCAGCATTCTGATTCCAAACCTCAAAGACTGGGGGGTCCTCGCAAGCCCTCTTTCCGGCTATGACCACGTAGGGATAGCCCAGCTTGTTGGCATCCTTCAGTCTTTTGCCAATGGTCAGGTGAGTCCTGTCATCCAGCACTGAGTCACTGGCGAGGTGGGGCAGTGCTTTGGCCAGGTGGTCGTACACTTGCTCCAGCTGTGCCACTCCCTCCTCCTCCTCCTTGCTGCCCCTCTTGGGGGGGATGAAGCAGAGCTGGTAGGGCGCAATGAGGCTCGGCCAGCGGATGCTGTCCTCCGTGGAGAGCACCTCGATGGAGGCCGCCAGGATCCGTGTGACACCCAGGCCATAGCACCCCATCTGTGCCAGCTGGGGTTTGTTCTCGTGTGAGGAGAAGACAGCGTTGGAGACTGAGGAGTACTTGGTGCCCAGGAAAAACGTGTGCCCCACTTCAATCCCTTTGGTCTTGGTGAGCCTCTCCCCACACGTGGGGCAGGAGGTTTGCTCCCCGTTTAACGTCTCCACGTTGGCTGCAAAATGTCCGTCAGGGCACAGCACAAGCCTATCCTCGCCGATGTCTGCCGGGAGCTGGAACTCGTGGGACGTGGTGCCGCCGATGCTGCCCGTGGCTGCCTGCACCTTGACGAATGGCAGCCCCAGGCGGCTCAAGAGGCGGCAGTAGGCGTCACACACCTGGCCGTAGGTGTGCCGAGCTGCCTCCTCAGAGGTGTCGAAGGTGTACATGTCCTTCATGTAGAACTCCCGGCTGCGCAACAACCCAAAGCGGGGCTTGGGCTCGTCCCGGAACTTCCTGGTGACCTGGTAGAGGCGCAGCGGGAGCTGCTTGTAGGACAGGTTGCTCTGAGAGGCCACCAGCTCCGTCACTGCCTCCTCGTGTGTAGGGCCAAGGCAGTAGCTGTGGTTGTGCCGGTCCACCAGCCGGAACAGTTCCGGCCCCATCTGGTCCCAGCGGCCGCTGGCGCGCCACGGCTCCGCCGAGCTCAGGCTAGGCAGGTTCAGCTTCTGCCCACCCAGGGCCTGCATTTCCTCGTCCATCACCCTGATGAGCTTCTCCATGGCGCGCACGGTGGGCGGCAGGTAGCAGTAGCAGCCGGGGCTGGCGGGGTGGATGAGCCCCCCTTGCAGCATCAGGCGCTGGCTGCGGCACGTGGGCTCCCCAGGCCTGCCCTCCCACTCCCCCTCGCCGCCCACCGGCAGCGACAGGGGCTGGAAGAGCTGCGAGAGCAGCAGCCACCTGGGCCTGCCTGGGGCACTGCTGTGCTGGGGCCTGATGGGCTGGTGGGTGCCCAGCACAGGGAGGCAGCATCTTCTGAGCAAGGCCTCCATGGTGCTGCTGGAGAGGGCCCGGAGCCTGCAGAGGGAGAGCGGGACAGAGCAGGGTCAGCACTGCTGGGACACACCACGGGATGTGCTGCTGTCTGCAGCCACCCTGACACCCATCCGCAATGCAGCACAGAGGTAACCACACACAGCTGCACACACATCTGGGTGCACACACCCACACACCTTCAGGGATACAGAGGTACTCTTACACGGGCTCGTGAATGCATCATGGGCACACCTACACACATGTGTACACATGTGCACGGCTTCCAGGCGTACAGGTACCCCCTTATCGACACACGAGTGCTGCACAGGCACACCTACGTGCATTCACACACACTCTGCACACCTTCTGGGATATGCACATACTCCTACATGAACACGTGGGAACGCTGCAAGGGCACAGCTGCACACGTGTGCACATGCATGCACACACACATCCCACCTTCTGGGGTGTACAGGCACCATTACACAGGCACGCGTGAGTGCTGCACGGGCACAACGACACGCGTTCTCACGCACACGTGTACACACACACACACTCACTCACACACACACACACACACTCACTCACACACACACACTCACACACTCACACGCGTGTACACACACACACTTACACCCGCCGGCGCAGCCAATGGGAGCCCCTCCCTCTCACGTGGGAGATCCTCACGCGCCGCCGGACGCGGGCGGGGCACCCCGCACTCTATGGTTCCGCCGGCGGGGCGCGGGCGTCCCCTGCCGGCCGGGAGGCGCGGCTGCAGCGACAGGCGGGGGGTGGGGATGCCTAATTAAACTCTACACCCTTAATTAACAAGGGGTTGGAAAACTGAGAATATCCTGACGGCTCATGGGAGAGACAGCCACTGCTGGCTGAGAGGGATAGGGGCCACTCATCCATCCAGCCCTCGACCTTCATCATCTCAAAGAGCACCTTCACCATCTCCATCCTCTCCGAGAGGTCACGGCTCTGGAGGGCTTGGTCACCTCCAGAGGGTGGTTGTGGCAGACCGCCCTCAGCTCCAGCTGCAGGTGCTGGCTGAGAATTTCTCATCTTTCCTAACTCATGGAGCCACTCTGCCCACTTGGATGGCCCGCCCGCAGCATTCAATGGCGAGTATTTTCTGGGTTGTGAGCCCTTTGTCCTTGAAGAGCTGCAGTTCGGGAATGGCATCACCCACGTCAAACTCCATGGCTTGGCCCAGGAGTTTCATCCACCAGGAACAGCTGTTACACAGCAACCATCCTCATGTAATAGTGAAAAGTAGTAAACAGAGGCGGGGCAGGACAAAATGGATCCTTGAAAGCAACAAGCCCATCTGCTCCCCCTTTCCAGGCTCAGTCTTCGGGGCAGCATGTCCCAATGTGTTCAGCGACAGAACCACTTGGAGTGTGCCTGAAGGAGGGCTGAGAATCAAAATCCTTTTTCTTATCTCTTCTCAGCTTTCTGCTGTCCAGTCTGGCAGACACACATTGCCTGGCACCCAGTGACCTCCACACTGCACTTTTCAGCCTCTTCCCTCACCTCTGAGAGCAGCTGTAAGCACATAGTAAAGCACTCCACTAGAGGAGGAGATTTCGCTTCACTGAGGAGTTAAATAATCCTGTTTAAGTATAGGGAAGTAAGAATGAATCCTTATTTTATTTAAAGATGTGATTTGAAGAAATCTTTACAATTCTTCTATGATGGGAAATCCTCATATGCATTCCTGTTTACAAGGGGCAAAATCAAGGGGTTAAAGAGCACATTTTTGATGCTCTTGCATGTTTTAGGAGCATTAAAGTCATTAAAGAGTTGAGCCAGCATCCTGTGTGCCTGGCGGGACCTGTGGAAGTCCTTCAGCAGCTCAGTGCCAGAGCTGGGATCTGGCCCAGATTTCCTGGCTGCCAGGTAGCAACTTCCCTCCCAGAACAGCCTTCACTGGTTTTGTCAGGCAATTACTTCTCCCTACGTGTTTCCCACCACAATTAGAGAGGCAATGCAAACACTGTCTGGGAGAAGCGCTGTGGCTGCCTGGGAGGCTGGAGGAGCAGGATGGATCCCTGCAGTATCTGCTCACACCTCTGGACACCCAGCACACTGTGCTGGCCCCAAGCAGGACTTACCTGCACCTGCCAGTTGAGCTGTGTGTCCCACAGGACTTCCAGTGCCACATTGCATATCCCTTTGGCCATCTCCCGCTTGCCCAGGAAGTGGAAGATTTTCACCAGGCGGTTTGGGATGGGAGGGTTGTCTCCATTTCTATTGCCTGTTGGAGCCAGAGAGGTGAAACACATTTCCATCAGTGACTTATTGCCTGCTG